ATCCCTAACCAAAGAATGTGTCACCATTATCTCACAATGAATAATCAATCCTTAGCAAAGTTCCAAGATGTGAAAGAGACACCATGGAAAACTGTGAATTAAGGAACAGACATTAAATAACCAGTAAAATTGGCTGACTCATGGTGTTTAAGGGTGCTGGACTCCCACATGGCTGACCGCAGTTTGAATCTTGGACCTGGCAGCTTTCTCTCTCAATCTCTCTCTCTCCTCTCTGGTCAAATTAAAATAAATAGTTAAAGTTAAATAATTCTTTTTAAAAAAGATGCTTACATTTTATGACTTAGTTAAAACAACAACCTCATTTTTTCAACTACGGCTGGTTATTATACTTATTCATATCATCCTTAGTATTAATTTCTTGTTTAGTAAAGCAATCATTCTAACATTTTGACAGTCCCACTAGTAGGATCTACTATTTTCCCAGAAAATAGCTTTATAACCAAATATTTTAACATGATTTATGGAGATTTAGAAATAAAAAGATAACAAAATTTCACTGTCTAAAATTTTGCTTATGTATAACACAAAAATCCTTTGTAATAGGTATCATTGTTAGAATTAAATGAGGTTGTTGTTTTAACTAAGTCATAAAATGTAAGCATCTTTTTTAAAAAGAATTATTTAACTTTAACTATTTATTTTAATTTGACCAGAGAGGAGAGAGAGAGATTGAGAGAGAAAGCTGCCAGGTCCAAGATTCAAACTGCGGTCAGCCATGTGGGAGTCCAGCACCCTTAAACACCATGCCACCTGCCTGCCCCAAAAATGTAAGCATCTTTCATAAAAATTTCAAGAGTGGGACCAGCAGTTAGCATAATGGCTATGTCGCTGGACTCCCACGTAGTTGACCGCGGTTCGAGTGCCGGACCTGGTGGCTTAAGGGCGCGTGTGCGTGTGTGCCCAAGATCCCGAGAGGAGAATGGAGGAGAAGGGATTCCGGTGTGGCCATCCCCCCGGGGGTTGATTTCTTGCTTTCTGTCTCTCTGTCTCTCTCTGTCTGGCGAGCACCTGAGCCCTATAGCAAAAATTTCTCCAAAAGAAAAAAAAATTTCAAGAGTTAAAAGACAAACAATGGTTACTGGTTTTCCCCCTTCCTAATATTATGAAAGGATTCCATTCTCTCTGTTATTAGCTTTAGTACTGTCCAGAGTAACAGATATTAATTTATGGTTGTATTTATCTTTTATTTGTTGTTAATTCTTCTTTATTGCAACATATAAGCAATAGTGAGTTAACATTTCACAAGCATGTGTGAATTTCTCATCTTCTTGCTATTGATTCTAGAGGTCTAATGTTACTAAATATTTTTTGAGAATGAATGTTCTCTGAAACATCTAAGCAATTATTTGAAGATAGTGACTATTTATTAATACTCTTAAAAAAGTTCCATGTTTGTGTACATGAAACCTATTTTCATATTTTTAAGTCAGTGTATCTCAAAAATAAGGCATTTTAATATTTTTCTAATAGTGCTTTTATGCTCTTTGTTGACTCACCATATTTCATTTATTTGGATTATAATCTTTGGGAAAATAGGCAGGGAATACTGAGACAATGTGTCTCTTTCTATAATTATACCCCAAATATGCTTTACTTTGTATATGTCACAGTTTAGAAATCAGGGCCACAGTGTATGAATTGTGGGTGGTATGCAATCTGCTGATCAAAGGCCCTTAGTTCATATTTCATACTCCCTTAGTGGGGCCAAGATGGGTCAGCTAACTTTTTTCAGTTACATTTCATGATCACCCACTTTAACTCCTGACCCTGACCATCCAGTGTATGCCATTTGTCACAGAGTTTTTAAAAATGTCAGCATGGAGGTTTAAGTGTACCCTTTCCCTAGTCCTAGCATACTCAGAACACATCTTCTATAGGTGGTAGAGTCCATATCGTCATCTTTTATGATAAACAATGTATTATTTATGAACTAGATATAGAATCTTCAAGCTGCAGAAACATCAAAATATTGCTAACCTTTATACACACACACACACACACACACACACACACATACATTAATTTGCTGTAAGTCATGTGTATTTGCTGGAGAGAGAGAGAGAGAGAGAGAAAGAGAGGTAAAGTGAGAAAGCACCCCCTAAGGGATCCCACACCACAATCCCTTGTCCTATATTTTCTTCTTGGAAATTTGGTCACATGCACATACATGCCTGGCATGTGTTTCAAGTCACTGGGTCTGGGACTTGGGCAATGTTGTCTGCTATGTGGAATCCAGCTGCTTTAACCTCCACTCTACCAGCTGGCCCACCATTGTATACTTTTAATGCTATGTTACAGTAACTGGAAATCCAAAGATGCATAGGCAATATAGACGATTTCAGGCTAAAAATTTCGTGAAGGCTGAAGAGAAAGCAATACATTCTGTTGTGTATACTTTGTAGAAGATTGAAAAGTTCAAGTTTGTCCTAACAATTCAAGGGCCTTGTAGGTTAGTAGAAATGATTTCTAATAGTCCTTGCATATTAGTGATTTAAAATCAGACAACATGTCTCTGAAATAGAACGTCAACACAGAACATTTAAGTATTAAAATCCACAGAGTTAGGTAGTATCTTATCCATTTTTGTATTAGCCCACAGCTTTAGCATAATGTCACATTAGGGTAGAGAAGTTCTGTTTGTCCACCCAGCATATTTATTGAACACTAACCATTATGCAATGAATACAGACCTTAATGAGTTAATAATTCACTAAGCTCAAAAACCTCCAAGTTCTTGGGTAATGAAAGATTAAGAAGTACTGAAATAAGGAAATGGAATGAGATGTTGTAGAAGTACAAAAAAATGAATGATATTTTTTCAGGGGAGAAGATATAGAGAGAAGGTAAGATCGGAGAGATCTGACAAAGCATCAGAGTGGGGAGAAGATTTGGCATGAGTCAGACCTGGTTTTAATTCTAGATTTTGTGTTCAAGAACTGTGATGCATTGGAGAAAATAAATGAAACTTTCCTAGGCCCAGTCAGCTTCCTTGTCTGTAAAATTGAGATTGTGTATACACACACATACATACACACACACACACATATATATGTGTGTGTATATACAACTTATTATGAGGGCTAAATGAATTAATGAAGACCATACACCTAGAGCATAGTGGACTCTCAATAAATAGTTGTTAGTATTAATTACTATTAAGAATAAATTGTATAATGAGGCCTGGATAGGGAAGAATCAATAACAAGAGCAGAGATTTGTCTAGAGTATGAGGTGATAGATAGTGAAGATGAACCTGGAAATATAGTGAGAGACCACATGGTAAAAAAAAAAAATGTCTTCAGATAATGAATTTAGATATTTTGCTGGAGATAGCAGAGAATCATAGAACTTTAATCACTGAGTGGACAGTGAGGAAGATGGATTGGTATGAGCAAGAGAGTATAAATTTAAAGTCAGAAAGACCAGTTAAGAGGGTATAACATTAGTTCAGTGACATATTCTAAGAGATGAACTGAAGAAATGACAATGAGGATGAAGCAAACTTTTTTTTTAAGAGAGATTTTTTTTGTTATAGAGTACATGTGCTCACCAGAGAGACAGAGACAATAAGTGAGAAATCACCCCCCCCCCAGGGGGGATGGCCTTGCTGTAATCCCTTTACCTACACCCCCTGCTCCTTGATCTTGGGTGCACATGCGCACACGCTCAGTGAGTTTTAAGCCACTGGGTCCAGAACTCAAACTGTGGTCGACTACATTGGAGTTCAACAATGTAACCATTACACAATCTGCTGGTCCCTGGAGTGAACATTTAAACAAATCTGAGATAGAATTGAAAGAATTAAAACTTCTGATTAGAAGTTTAAAGAAACACGAATTGAATCAAAGCATTGAGTTGAGGAAGGATTTTAGATAGGAGAGATGTATGCAAGTGGAATGTTGAATGAATGAACATTCCGAGAGAGCTTTATACAGGTAACACAATGTATTTATCAAATGCACATGATAATATTAAAAGATATATTCATTTAGAAAATATTTTCTGAGCAGGGTGTAGGACAGCTGCTTTTCCTGAGCCCTGCAAACAGATACCTCCGGAGTCCTTCCCTGACACTAACTCCTCAAGCGCTCCAGAGAGAACCCCAGTTCCCCCATGTGTTTTGTGAATCCTCCTGCCGGCGAGACAGCTCCTTAGACATGAGAGGGCCTGCTGAGCATGTGTGAAGAACGCCGCGCATGCTCTGTGGAGTGGGCAGGTTTAGCGAGGCGCTAGCGGTGGCTCTTACTACTCTTCACCCGCCTCCCCCGCCCAGCAAGCCCCCTCCCCTCTTTCCCACCCCCTACCACGCCGTCCCCCGTATCCACCCCGCCCCTCTTT